GGAGGTTGCGTTGAGTCAAGATCATGCCATTGCACTCCAGCCTGGGCAACAAGAGCGAAATTCCATCTCAAAAAAAAAAAAAAAAAAGCAGAAGGATAGGTCTCATGGAGGTGACAGAGGGATGAATTGAGGAGACATGCATGATGTGAAATCGAAAGGCTCTGGAGATAGACTGGATGCAGGGACTTATGGAGGCGGAGGGGTTGACCTGTCTGAGGTTGGATCCAGTCCCCTAATCTGCCTGGATGGCAGAGTCATTCACTGAAACTTGCGAGGTGGCAAGAGCGAGCAAGATCACGGGTTCCTTGTTAGGCATGTTGAGTTTTGTGCTTTCGGGATTTTCAAGTGGAGATGTGGCACTGAAGAAGGGACGATCTGGAAGAGACTCTGAAGGGCTGAATAGGGACCGCATAAACACTCAGGGTTGGATGAGCAGCTCAAGGAACCCATGCGGGCAGACGCCAAGGCTCTGCAATGGCACCAATCCACATACCTCACAGATGGCCTCATGTCCTCAGCAGCCTGAGTGTGGGACAGAGGTCAAATGTCACCCTGAGGATTTTTGGAAAACAGGAGATATAGGAAGACATGGAGGAAGTACTGCTTCTTAGTGTCTGATTGACACTAAGGTAATGAGTGGAAGGAGAAGGTGGGAGAGGCTAATAGGCAGAATATAACTGGAAAGAGAACTTGGGAGAGTAAAACAGGCCCTGCTCCCCAGAGTTCAGAAGGAAATGTAACGTATCATCACTCATTAAGGTTTATATGACATGAGTAACACTCACAGCTTACTTTGATGAGTCACTTACGTAACACGGCTCAGAATCTATGCAGTTTTATGCATTAATGTATCACATGATTACATCTTCAAACTGCCCAATGGCATAAAAATAATGTTTTTCTTTTTTTTTTACAAAAATAATTTCTGGGCCGGGCGTGGTGGCTCACGCCTGTAATCCCAGCACTTTGGGAGGCCGAGATGGGCGGATCACGAGGTCAGGAGATCGAGACCATCCTGGCTAACACAGTGAAACCCCGTCTCTACTAAAAATACAAAAAATTAGCTGGGTGTGGTGGTGGGCGCCTGAGGCAGGAGAATGGCGTGAACCCGGGAGGCGGAGCTTGCAGTGAGCTGAGACTGCGCCACTGCACTCCAGCCTGGGCAACAGAGAGAGACTCCGTCTCAAAAAAAAAAAAAAATTTCTAATAGCATTTTTCAGGAACAGACTGAGTATAGTGGACTGAGTAGGTGCTCACCAGACCATCTGCTCTTCTCCTTGGACAGGCAGCTCAGCCACAATTCCTAGACTCATGGACCCAAGTACAGCCAAATGCCCAGTTCCCATGGGTGAAACGTGAGGGGAGGTGGTATTTCTGGAAGTGGGTATGATGTCCCTTATTCCCTTAATTCTCTACCAGCAAGAGGATGTCAGGACAACCTTAAAGCAATAGGTTGACGACAGAAGGACTCTAGGTCCTGAATAACTGTGGTACAGAGTTCCCTCCCGACCCACACAGACCTTGGTATGAGTGAAAAGAGTTTTCATATGTGAATCATTTAAATTTTGGAATTTGTTGGATACAGCAGCTGGTGTTAACTTAGCCAAACTCATATACAAACTTCACTAGGGTCACAGAGTAGCTGACTGGCAAACCAGGTTTCAGGCACACAAGGTTGGAGCCCCAGGACCAATCTCAGTTCATACACCTCACTCCTCCCCAGGAGTGGGGACAAGTGTGACAGGGCTAGGAGGACGGAGAAACCACTAAGGGCTCCAAGGCTCCCAAACCCTTAGAGAAGCCACAGTGAGAAGCTTCCCAAGAGATCCCAGGGCCAGTGGTCTCTATCCAGTCTCAAGCCAGCAGGGACTCCGACCTCCCCAGATCTTGGCTCCTACCTGGACAGGTGTCTTGGGAGAGGTCTTCCTTCCTGGTCCATGGCTCCTGCCCATGCTCTAGGTGGTAGATCAGCTCAGGTCTGGGAATAGGACACCCTGTTTATGGAGAAAGAAAGTGGACACATGGATGTTGGTGAAAAGAAATAAAGACCTTCAATCCAGTCTGGGACTTCAGGATGGGGACCAGACCTTGGAATGAAGCTACACCTATCCATGGGAACAAAAAGTTAGCATGTGATCTGGAAACCAAGGGCAGGCCATGTCATGCTGCCACAGAATCTCTACTCCTAATAGTAAGTCAAAAACTAGTATTTGTAGGCTATAACCATGTCCAAGGGACTATGCCAAGCATTTAAATGCATTATGTCATTTCAAAAGTGAACAACATTTATGGAATATCTTAGAGAAAAAGTGATACACTTTAAATATTAAATATTGATTCTTTTCATTCAAAACAAGGTATGTATCTTCATTGATCTAAGTCTTTTTTTTTTTTAAACAACCTAAGCAATGTTTTATAATGCTCTTCCTCTAAACCAAAGACTAAATGTGTCTGTTGCCCAGGCTGGAGAGCAGTGGCGTGATCTCGGCTCACTTGGCCTCCCAAGTAGCTGGGACTAGACGCGCGCGCCACCACGCCTGGTTAATTTTTTTGTATTTTAAGTAGAAATGAGGTTTCACTATGTTGGCCAGGCTAGTCCTGAATTCCTGACTTCAGGTGATCCACCCGCCTCAGCCTCCCAGAGTGCTAGGATTACAGGTGTGAGCCACTATGCCTAGCCGTTAAATGAGGATTCCAGTTGAGGATTTCCTCACGGTATACCCAGGATGTCCATTATCATAATCAACACCATTTTGTTGACAAAGAAACGCAGGCTCGCGGAGGTAAAGTGATTTGCTGAAGAGCACAGAACTGGTGAATGGCTGAGTCAATAAGGAAACCCAGGTCCTGCCATCTCTGTCTGTGCTGTTTAACCACAAAGCTCCACAACGCTGCCCAGAAAGTGCCAGGTCAAGGTATGCCCCTGACAATAATCGTGATGAGGATGACGGTAACAGTATTGGTGGCAACAGAGATTGTAATGGCTCCCTGCACACAGCCTGGTCTCCCAGGTGCTGTTCTGAGCCCTTTTCATAAAATAACCCTTGACCCTGGCAACAGCCCTGGGATGCGACTAGGATAAGTCCTCATTTGAACAATAACACTGAGGCACAGGCAAGTTCAGAAACGTGCCCAAGGCCGTGGAGTTTTTTTGTTTGTTTGTTTTTTTTGTTTTTGTTTTTTTTTTTGAGACAGAGTCTCGCTCTGTCACCCAGGCTGGAGTGTAGTGGCGCGATCTTGGCTCACTGCAAGCTCCGCCTCCCGGGTTCACGCCATTCTCCTGCCTCAGCCTCCCGAGTAGCTGGGACTACAGGCGCTGCCACCTCGCCCGGCTAGTTTTTCATATTTTTTAGTAGAGACGGGGTTTCACCGTGTTAGCCAGGATGGTCTCGATCTCCTGACCTCGTGATCCGCCCATCTCGGCCTCCCAAAGTGCTGGGATTACAGGCTTGAGCCACCGCGCCTGGCCGGCCGTGGAGTTTTTAAAGAGCAGAGCTGGGGCTGGACACCAGGGTTCTGGCTCCAAACCCTGCTCTCCCAAGCAATACACTACGGAGGAAACCAAGAGCACCAGAGTGGGTGGCAGAGGGTGGTGACGAGGCCGAGATGTGAGCTGGAGGATTCACCCTCAGGGACCAGTGGCCAGGGTGAGGGGCGGGTCAGTGATTCCAGGCCCCAGCATTTCATGAACCGTTCAAACATTTAAAAACTGAGCGTCCTACTGTGATATGGTTACATAAGGATACTGACAGAAAGTTCATACAGCGGCACAGTGGCTCACATCTGTAGTCCCAGCTACTGGAGAGGGTGAGGTGTTAGCATCACAGTGAGCCATGATCTTGCACCATTGCACTCCAGCCTGGGCAACAAGAGTGAAACTCCACCTCAAAAAAAAAAAAAGTTCACAAAAGAAGAATTTTTACTACAAAAAAATTCAGTGGTTTCATAAAATGAAGGTGTTTCATCTGTGCTGAGTAAGTTAAACTGGATGCGGGACTCGTAGGAGTGGCTAAATTTTCCTTATTTGCTGAGGACAAGGATCCTGTGAGAAGAAATGGAGCATGAACACTGCCTGGAACAGGCCTGAGACACCCAGTCAGTGCTCTGGGGATCTGGACTGTTAATTGCTTTTCTTTTTCTTCTTTTTTTTTTTTTTTGAGATGGAGCCTCACTCTGTCAGCAGGCTGGAGTGCAGTGGCGTGATCCCAGCTCACTGCAGCCTCTGACTCCCTGGTTCAAGTGATTCTCCTGCCTCCACCTCCTGAGTAGCTGGGACTACAGGCACGCACCACCATGCCTAGCTAATTTTTGTATTTTTAGTAGAGACGGGATTTCACCATGTTGGCCAGGCTGGTCTCTATCTCCTGACCTCGTGATCCGCCTGCCGTGCCCTCCCACAGTGCTGAGCTTGCAGGCGTGAGCCACCGTGCCTGGCCTGCTTTTCCTAAAAGTGACCTACTTGTTATTTTTCTTAGATTTCTTCAAAAATGGAATCCTTATCACTCTGGTAAATGGAAAATCCAGAGCCACTTGTCTTGATGGCAGGTAACCATGAAAAAGCAGCAATAAATCAAAACAACGCATACCAAAATTACCTGGGTGTGGTGGCACCTGCCTGTAATCCTAGCTACTCAGGAGGCTGAGGCATGAGCAATGCTTGAATCCAGGAGGCAGAGGTTGCAGTGAGCCAAGATCACACCACTGCACTCCAGCCTAGGCAACAGCGAGACTCTGTCTCAAGACAAACAGTGCTGTTTGGTCCCTGTGAGCTCATGCTGCTTGTTCAGGGCTGTGAGCCTAAGGCTGCTCCCTCTGTAGAAAAGGGGAAGTTACCAACAGTTTGCAGGATATTAAGACTCAGCACTAAACCAGACTTTTCCTCAAATGCTAAGAAGGCAAGATGAGATGCAATAAAAGAACAACTTCCTTGGGTGTCTCTCAGCACCAGCTGAGGTAGTGTCTGTCCAAGCACTCTCTGAAAAAGAGCTTCTCAACCTTAGCACAACTGACATTCAGGTTCAGATAATTCTTTGTGAGATCGGGGGAAGAAGGATCTGTCCTGTGCATTACAAGGATGTTTAGTGGCATTCCAGGTCTCCACCCACTAGATGTCAATGTCATCATCTTAGTGTTAACAACCAAAATGTCTCCACACATTGCCCAGTGTCCACTGAAGCTCAACATCGTCCCTGCTTGAGAACCACTAGCTTAGAAAGACGTGAACAAGGTAAAGGGAGGAGGCTGTGGTGAGAAAGGGGCCTCCCCAAGATTCGGTGGTCAGGGAAGGGCTGGGTGAGGAGGCAATGGCGGTGCTGAGAAGCGGCGGCCACGTGAAATGCTGAATTACCCTGAGAACACTCATCAAGCAGAACAGCAAATGCAATCGCCTGAGGGGGGTGGGCACTTGGGGAAATAACAAGAAGCCCAGCAAGGCTGCAGCAGAGTGACTTTAGAATCAAGAGGACACGAAGGTGATTAAAGTGTTGTTTAGAATAACACCTGGTAGTACAAAGGTCAAAGTCTCCTGGGGGCCTGCCTGACTCAACCCTTCTTGGAGAACACCCCACCACCCTTGACACCACAGACTGCGCTATGGAGCAGATACACAAACAACCAGGCCCACCCAGGCAGATCCTGCTCTGGAACTCAAAAAAAGAACTGCAGACGGAGGCCAGTCCATGCTGGGCAGTGGGTGAGAGATGGAGGCAAGTATGAGCTGGAGGTGGAGCAGCATTTGCTGCCTCAAGCACGCCCCACAGAGGCCAGAGAAACAGACAAGAAATCTGGAGGGGAAGGAGGGGTCACAAAGAGTAAAACCTGGGGTCGTTATTCTTCCCTTGAACTCGCTGAGGCAGAAAAAAACCACACAGAGTAGACAGTGACATGAGCAGACCCAGACAGAGAAACTAGGACACCATCGTGGTGGTTCTCAGTTCCTACTTCAACCCCTCATAACATACAGCTGGAAATCCTACCTTTGGGGTCTGCAAAACACCCCATTTCCTTCCACCACCTCCTTCTCCTTTGGCTGGGAGCCAAAGAGTACACTATTTCTTGTCCAAAGTGATACAGGGAGACTGTTCAGGAAGAGGTGAGTGTAGAAAATGACTGAAGTTGTGGGAAGAAGGCAAGGCAGGTTCGATAGGCCTTCTTGACCCATCAGGCCTGGAGTCAGGGGATGGAATGAAGAAGTGGCAGGTCCCCTGCATGGTGGAGGGGGAAGGCCTTACCCAGAGATACCAGGAGCCCACAGTTTTCCAGCATCACCTCCTGGTACAGGGTCCGCTGAGCTAGGTCCAGCTGCCCCCACTCCTCCTGGGTGAAAGTCACAGCCACATCATCAAAGGTCACAGACACCTGAAATGCCAAATAGAGGTAGTAGAGTTTGCCGTGGGACTGTCGTATGCGGTTTGCTGGAAAAGGTGCAGCAAGATCAAGGCCCAAGTCACTGAGGACCTCCTGAGGGCCTAACTTTGTACCAGGCTGAAGGAGGAAGGCAGACATTGCTTTGGACAGATTACTGTAATGTACAAAAGAAAAGCGTCCTATACAGGAGCCATCAGAGAATGACAGAAGACAATGGCAACAACTTGTGGACGGGGAGATGTAGACAATTATTACAGTTCGAGGACATCAAAGAAATGAGGAAATAATGACAATAATAGTAGCAATAATGTTGACAGCCACAGTGCCTGAGCCTCACTGGTCCAGCTCATGCTGAAGGCTTCACGTTCTGTTTTAAAGCCACTACAACTCCCAAACTCTGAAGTCAGACTTCTCACGTTTGAATCCAATCTCCTGAAACTGACACTTGCCAGTTTTGTGACCTTAGGGACCTCATTTATCTCTGCCTCAATTTTCAGATTAATACAGAGTTCCCATTTTCCCAATAACAGACATGAGTTATTCAGAGCTTGATGGACTTTGAGATTTTATTAATCCTCCCACAGCCCCTGAAGTATTACTAACCACCACCGCCAATCATCTCCATGTCACAGTCACTGACCTGAGGCTAAGGGAGCTCCGTAGATTCTCCTAGTCTTTTGTGTTTTCTGTTTTTCGCTTGTTTGCTTTTTTCAGAGACAGGGTCTCACTCTATTACCCAGACAGGAGTGCAATGGCATGCTCAGAGCTCACTGTAACCTCGAACTCCCGGGCTCAAGCGATCCTTCTGCCTCAGCCGCCCAAGTAGCTGGGACTACAGGCATGCACCACTGCGCCCAACTATTTCCTTTTGGTAGAGCTGGGATCTTGCTATGTTGACCAGGCAGGTCTCGAACTCCTAGCCTCAAGTGATCCTCTCCCCTCAGCCTCCCACAGCATTGGGGCTACAGGTGTGAGCACCAAGCCCAGCTAGAGTTTCACATGTTATAAGCAGAGACAGAATTTTAACCCAGGTCCCTCTGCTTCAGGGTTTAATACTGTGACCCCAACAACCCTCCATCACCAACGTGAATCTACAATACAGTTGTGAAGCATTTCTACATATTTTTGCTATTTAATCTATTTTAGTAGCTCCTGAAAATATCCCCAAGACGTGGGCAAAACCCTCATCACCAAATTCATGAGTGCCAAATGCCGGAGGAGTGACAGTGCCTGGACCAGCTCATCCTCTCCCCTGGACCCCAGAGAGATTGCATAATGAACCATCAGCCTTTTCCTTCCCTGAGTCCTGCCAGCAGGTATCCCTAAGGCCAGTGTACTTCAGGACCAGGAAACTCAAGTGGCTGAGGATAATGCGGGCTGTGGTCATGAGAACCCCGGCTTATGACTGGCCAAAATGCCTTATGGGCTGAAGGCAGGATGAACATCCAAAAAAGACCACAGGATCTTGCCCTTCCAGGCCATGTCTCAGCAGGTGGGGATGGGGTAACCATGGTAACCTCACAAGTCCTCTTGGACCTCCTTAAACAACCAACACACTTTGCCTTTGTCTACACAGTCCTCTCTAATGGAATATCTGCCTTTCGCTTCCGATGGCCACTGTGACTTGCTGGAGAAAGACTGCAAAGTTCACCTCCAGGGCTTCTCAGCCAACTGACTGTAAAAACAAAGGCTCTGGTGGTCCACACATTAAATATGAATTTCTGTTACTTAAGTGCTGTGTGTCAGCAGGTAACTAAACAGGTTGGAGTCTTGACCTCCTCTTGTGTACGGCAGTGTTTATAATAGAATGTCACTTTAAGGAGATCAGGATTAAATGAGATGATAAATAATGTCCATTTCTCAGTTCACATCAAGGACTCAATGAAGGCCAACTGTTATAGTTCTTGTGTTAATACTGATGCTCTTTGTCCCCACAAAATCCTTAAGACCTCAACTCAGTAGCTGTCTAAAATTTTGCCAGATTCTGTATACAAAAACGTTAGACCAAGGGCAGGTGAGAAGGGGACTACTTTAGTCTGAACTGCCACGAAAGGCCGCTTCAAAGAAGTGACATTTGAGCAGAGCCAACAAGATATGAAAGGGTCTTGCAGAGATCTGAGGATAGCGTCTGAGGCTGAATGAACTGTAAAGGTGAAGGCTGAGGGATGAGAAAGAACTCTGAGTGATCACATTCGTGTGTCTGAAGGGCTGAGCCAGGGAGGAAAGGAAGGAAAGGAGGACAGAGGTGGTCAGCCATAGTGGACCGGGTAGGGACATGCAGGCCATGGCTGAGTTCGGATTATGTGTGTGACAAGAGTCCCTGGAGCGGAACTTCATTTATCCTTCAACCAATTATTGAGCACCTATCAGAGGCCTGACACTTTTGGCGGTGGAAACCTGCAGAAGGGCTAAAAGTGGGGCATCGTATGTGATTGGTTAGGCTGAGCACGTATGGCTTTCTCTGCTTGGTCCTCTGCTGGAAGCGGAGGCAAAAATTAGAACAGTCAGTTACTAATCAAGTCCTATTTGGGGCCTACTGTTCCAGGAGTTACCGTTTAGCTTCCTGAAATGTCACCAGAGAGTAAACTAGCTCGTTGCAAGACTAAGTTAAGGCACACCGGTTTCCAGAGTTGTTTAATGTAGAACAGGAGGTTGGTTTCCTGGGCAGGTGGCTACAAAAAATTGTACGTCACGGTCCTATAATCTATGTATAGTCTGGCTACTGTCCGCTTGAATATTCCGTCTCTCAGGTACTACCACGACAGAAGATAAACTAAGCGACGAGCATGCTCCACGTTTCGTAAACAAACAACACTACAAAGAGGAATCCTGTGGCTGTCTTGGCTTCCGGCCTGCCCAGGAGGCTTCCCCGAACTAGCAGAAAAGCAGCAAGGCCGAAAGCTCGTCCACTCACCTGCGCCGGGTCCGTCAAAGCCGTCGCCATCCTGGGACCCTGAGGCCCGAGCGGGGCGGGGGCT